CTTTAGTTTTGGCTTTATAAGTATTTCGTTAATTGTTTTCTTGGGACAGTCTAACGTTACATACATACAATGGGACAGTGCTGCCGCGGCCGAAAAATAAAGTTAAACAAAATATTTCAAAAATTTTAACAAATCCCGTTAAAATTAAGCAACTTATTTATCGGGTCTTATTAAAAAGAAAAATGCCTGTTTGTTTCTTCCTGAGCTTGTTAAATTGGCTATAGAAATAAAAAGTAAGCAAGTCAGTAAGTAAAGGCTCTGTAAGGCTGAGTTTTGTCGTCAAAAGTAAGGATGTTATAGTCTAAGGTCCCATTTCAAATGAATATTTAAACGGCACTTAAGTTTAATTGTGGATTGTTGTTTAAATGCCATTTAGCTTTCGTTGGGTTTCAGATCAACTTTGTTTAAATATGCCAAACAATTGGCAGCACTGCTGCTTATTCCTTGAAATTGTTGTTACATTTTCATGTTTGTTTACCTTTTCTGCTTCAATCTTGGTTGTTTGGTATAAACACAGGGTTCCATATCTCATATTTAAATAGCAAAACTGGCCATTTAAGTGCAGACTAAATGTATGATCTAAAAAGGAATAGTGGAAATTAATCAACAATTTCTACTTAAGTAGGCCATCTGAAATCGGGCCTAACAGTTGCTAAATTTGAAAACTGTTACACATTCTTTCAGGTTTTCAACACATACTGCTATAACACTATGCGACAGTCAAAATCGGGATGGGATGAAACCAACGGGAAATGTTATATCGGTCAAAAACAAGTTATACGTGTCCCGGCGTTTAGCTGGGTCATGTCTAGGAATCGAGATATATATATAACTATCATATAGGGGAAATTGTCACCTTTGGTGGTCTTTTTTTGACATAACTCGAGAACCACTAGTCTGATTTTGCTCAAACAAATTTAAAAAAATTAAAAATTACAATTCCTTTAATCTGTTCATATTACGCTTTTCTATATAATCAACAGTTTTGCCGGTAAAAATAAATGTATGAAGAAAAAAAATATTTTTTGCCTAAAATATTAAATTTTTTTAAAACTGAACCATTAGAGCGACATTTTTTCAATTTGAATCACAATATCTCCACAACAAGAGTTTTCCCAGATATAAGCTATACACCAGATGAAAGCTAAGGTTTCGGGCTAGATTTGTGGAAACCAAGAATAAAATCCACTGACCAGTTTTTGAGAAAATTCTCGAAATCCATATTTTCAGCAGCCCGATTTTTAGTTTTCAGGCGATAACGTTATGACATATTTATATTTTATAAACACAAAAGATAGAGTTAGATAGCTTGTTTGGAGACCCTTCTACTGATATCCACATGAATGACATGGACTGAGTAGTGCGGCCTCAGTTGTAGTTTAAAAAATTGCATTTTTTCGAATTTCAGGCAGCAGCCACGACCACAAAGGCATACGAATCAAAACATCCTGGAACAAAACCTTCTTAGTTTTTTTGTGCTTTTATTCCTGAAAGTTTGAAAAAAATTAAATGAAGGTACGTACAGACGCCACATACATACCAAAGCATCTCGTAGTGGAGACACGAACCAAAACACATTTACCTCTATATCTTTCCAACTAGTGGCCGGAACTTAATATGTAAGGTATCGTTTGAAAGGTATAGAATAAGGCCTATAGAATAATACTAAGTATGTTGGGTGTGCCCACATGCCCCCTTAAACCGGCAAAAACAAAAAAACGTTTTTTGTTTTGCAACACTTTAGCCTACTTTTTAAGAATCCGGTTAATCGCTTATGAAGCTTGAATACATTTTCTGGACACACTCTTCAAGACCTTTCCAACGATATCTCAAACATGTCGATTGGCTGTCTGGATAAAAACTTCCAAATCTCGTGTATATAAAAGCGAGTCATTTCAGCATGCTACTGTGGCTGCTTTCGTCACTCGCGCACACTGCCGTGCGCTGTGATAACTGTTGCATTTTATGATGAACCCGCTGGACTTCTTCTGCATGAAAGCAACTGTCAAAAATTTCAAGCAGTAAAAAATTCCGAATTGGTAAAGCAGAAATGTTTAATTTTCTCACCATAGTAAAAAGTGTTTTCGTCAAAGAACTTGGCTACTGATTTTCGCAGGCCCTAAGTATAGGTATAGACTTTAGTATTGTTGTATAATCAACACCTTTCTTGAAGTTATTTTTTTGGAGTTCTCCTGAAACATTTGTGTAAGTAAAAATTGCTTAACGATTATATGCATTTTTGGCTCAGAAAACACTGGATTATAGTTTGATAATTCATTCAATGCCTAAATTTTTGACAAATACAAATATATAAAGTTACGAGCCTTCCAGAAGATCAGTAATATTGATATTTACACGTATATTAAAAGATAAATAATAAAAATGTGTATGTGTATGTGATGCCCAACTCAAATAAATGAAGGTATTCACACCTGGCTGGTTATGTAGTAGGGTGCCCATCGAAAATGCTTTTTCAAGACTCTACCCCCTAATTTTATTCGTTTTTATGAGAAATATTATTGCCCATTTTTATAGATTTTTTAAAGGTCATTTAGAGGCCGCGACCTGTCGATTTAGGCCAGAAAATAGGTTTTTGTAGATCAAAGATCGAATATGATCTGAGAAGAGGATATATAGACCTTTAAAATGGTATTTAATAATCTATTGTCAGACTAGGCTAGTTGCGATTTTTTATCGTGTACATTATAAAAAGACCCATATTTCTTTTAATTTTTTAAATATGGAGTACTATCTAAAATTAAATCTATTTTCAAATAAACTGATACCTCATTTATTGCAAGCGCAAAAAAATTGTCGAATTTAGGCGACTTTTCTTAAATACGGCCTGGAATTTATATTGTTTATGNCTGTCTGGATAAAAACTTCCAAATCTCGTGTATATAAAAGCGAGTCATTTCAGCATGCTACTGTGGCTGCTTTCGTCACTCGCGCACACTGCCGTGCGCTGTGATAACTGTTGCATTTTATGATGAACCCGCTGGACTTCTTCTGCATGAAAGCAACTGTCAAAAATTTCAAGCAGTAAAAAATTCCGAATTGGTAAAGCAGAAATGTTTAATTTTCTCACCATAGTAAAAAGTGTTTTCGTCAAAGAACTTGGCTACTGATTTTCGCAGGCCCTAAGTATAGGTATAGACTTTAGTATTGTTGTATAATCAACACCTTTCTTGAAGTTATTTTTTTGGAGTTCTCCTGAAACATTTGTGTAAGTAAAAATTGCTTAACGATTATATGCATTTTTGGCTCAGAAAACACTGGATTATAGTTTGATAATTCATTCAATGCCTAAATTTTTGACAAATACAAATATATAAAGTTACGAGCCTTCCAGAAGATCAGTAATATTGATATTTACACGTATATTAAAAGATAAATAATAAAAATGTGTATGTGTATGTGATGCCCAACTCAAATAAATGAAGGTATTCACACCTGGCTGGTTATGTAGTAGGGTGCCCATCGAAAATGCTTTTTCAAGACTCTACCCCCTAATTTTATTCGTTTTTATGAGAAATATTATTGCCCATTTTTATAGATTTTTTAAAGGTCATTTAGAGGCCGCGACCTGTCGATTTAGGCCAGAAAATAGGTTTTTGTAGATCAAAGATCGAATATGATCTGAGAAGAGGATATATAGACCTTTAAAATGGTATTTAATAATCTATTGTCAGACTAGGCTAGTTGCGATTTTTTATCGTGTACATTATAAAAAGACCCATATTTCTTTTAATTTTTTAAATATGGAGTACTATCTAAAATTAAATCTATTTTCAAATAAACTGATACCTCATTTATTGCAAGCGCAAAAAAATTGTCGAATTTAGGCGACTTTTCTTAAATACGGCCTGGAATTTATATTGTTTATGTACCGGAATTTCAGTTTTTTTGAGCTGTGTATCTAAGCAGTTCATCAATGTTTATTCAAAATTGATATATATAATCGATCTTTAGCAAAAAACTGGTTTTTTAAGAAATTTTAGGAAAATGGGGGTGGCACCGTCCACTTATATGATATATGCGTATCTCAAAAACTACTTAACTGATCTCAACCAAAGTTGGTATACACATTGTGCTTAGCCTCCTTAGGTACCGTCTTAAATATTTTTGAAATCGGGCAAAACCTACTCGTCCTAAATATAGCTAGCTTTGAGTTTTTTGAAATTACCGTTACGTTGGTGAAGCACGTGGAATTTGTACGATTTGAAAAATATGGCACTTAAGAAGCCTAAGCGCAATGTGTTCACTAAATTTGGTTGAGCTCGGTCAAGTATTAGATTTTGAGATACACATATATGATATAAGCGGGCGGTGCCACCATTTTCATAAAATTTCTTCAAACCCCACTTTTTTGTTGAAGAGCGATTGTATATATCAATTTTGAATAAATATTGATGAACTCCTTAGCCACACTGTTCAAAAAATAAATGAGGTATCAGTTCATTTTAAAATAGATTTAATTTTAGTTAGCGCTCCACATTTTAAAATTGTAGAAATTATCGATTGTCAAAATTTAAAAAATTAAGAGAAACATGGGTCTCTTTTAATTTACCAGATAAAAAATCCCAAGAAACCTACTCCGACAATAGATTAGTATGTACCATTTTAAAGGCCTATATATTCTTTTCTCAGATATATTCAATCTTTGAAATCAAATCAAAAATAGTCATTCAAAAACTCATAAATCTATAAAATCCTATTTTCTGACCTAAATCGACAGGTCGCGACCTCTAAATCACCTTTAAAAAATCTATAAAAATAAGCAAAAATATTTCTCATAAAAACGGATACAATAAGGGGGTAGTGTCTTGAAATTTCAAAAAAAAAAACATTTTCGATGGGAACCCTATTATGCAGTCATATTTTTTATTAAATTTATAGCAATAAAATACACTGAAGAATAGTATTCGGTAATCAGGAAACATAATAACGCGGAAGGACTGATTACCTGCAATAGTTATGCATGCGAAGTTCATACTTACCAAATTTAGAAGATGTTTCATATTGATTAGTAGTGCTGCGTTGAAGTGAGAGCAAGGCTTGTAACCATTTTAGCATCTCAGTCTCGCTGTCAAGTACTATTCCAAAGCCTCCATCTTTTGTTGCAAGCGCTATTACAAAATCATATTTAGTGTCTAACCTTCTATTAATGTTGAAACAGTTCTCCAATTTCACAACACGTTTAGGAGCTGTGCCGGATTTAAACTTTTTTATACTATCAAAGTATTCTAACCGAGCACAATCCTGGGCTGTCTCTTTATATAATACAAAAAACTTCTTTTTCATTGTATTAAACTTTTTCTGGTAACCAGAGAGTATCAAGCCGTCATCAATATTCTTGTCCACAAACTTTGACATTTTAACCTGCGATAAAAGAAGTGTCTTTAAAGAGAGTTAAAATTTTGAGATTTCTATAAATATGTACATAAATATGTATGTGCTGTTGTTTTTGAAAGTGATACGAGTCAATATTTCATATGTCGAGATATTTAAGGGCTTACATCTGAAATAATTTAAAACTATTGGCAAACGTTAGTCTATTCGGGTGACGTTTTTAACACTATAAATGAGTAAAATTTTATTATGCAATAATATCACTGTGCTACACAAAAAATATGCAGGGGTTTTCATATAGAAATTATGTTTTGCTATAGCCCATAGGATACGACTATACTTATAGTTTTTCTTCATCTCTTCGTTTAATACTTTTTTACTAACAAATATAATAAAACTTTAGTATTCTTCAAGTTACAACTTCAAGAAGTTATAACTTTGTTGTTTTTTGATCGAATTAAAAATTTTTGTTTCTCTGTTTGAAAGAAATGGGTTTTACCTTTCTAACAAAGAAAGTTTGAAAATCTGCTGGAGAAGTGCTTAGTATTGCTCTTCTAATTGAAAAAATACGTAAATTTTTCAAAAAACTTTCATTTTCTACGCGCTTTTATTTGATCGTGACATTATCTTTATAGCAAAGAGCATAAAATCAGTTTTCCAAAAGTCATAAGTAAATTAAGATCGAATAAAATGTGGCTTAGTAATGCTTTACTCAGTGATAAGTATATCTTTTGTTTTCCTTTTTTGCTAGAAAGGTTTTCGTTTTGTTTGTTTTTTTTTATGCATTTTATTACCGTTTTCGATTATGTACGTACATATGTATATGGGCAATTCTCAATTAGTTCCGACTTTCGCATGTCTCGACAGTTTTTATTCGGACACATAATTTTCGCTGGTTTATTAACAAACATCAGGTTACATATGTTATGTAGATTATGTAAATGCACATAAGGACCACGGTACATATTTTCTAGCCAAATATGCATATGATTGAGAAATAAAATTGAGAAATTTTCACAAATAAAAGTGTGACTCTCCCGTTATTTCTTTTTATTTTTACGTTGCAAAATTTGGTGCGTTGATTGCTCATGTTTGAGTTTATAATGAACTGGTAGTATTTAGAGAGGAGAATCGAATGCAGAAGAACTTAGAAGTATGTGATTGCAGTAGAAAAGAAGTTATGAAGAGTCAAAGTGGCGTGACTCCTTTTTTTTTTAATTATGACACTCACGGCTTTTATAGTATACCAACGCTGGGCAAACGCGGCTCTTTGCTTAGCAAAGTGTGGCTCTTTTTACTTTCTCCTTTATTGGCTCTTTTTACTTTTTAATATACATATTCCTCTGCTGTCCACTCTTTTCCATTGCGTTGTTTTTTTATTTTATTCTTTTTATATGCACATACGCAAATTGAGATCGGAACATTACCGCACAAATTTAATAAAAAGAAAATAATAGAAATAAAAATAACAATACATATCTATGTGTGTCGAAGAAACTGAAACCAGAGGCAATATTAGCCCAGCGAATGGAGTGTGATGTGTGTGGGGTTTTCTGGCAATGAAAGGAAATGAAGGAAAGAATGGAAGGAAGCCAAGCGTATGGGTCTGGTGGTAAACGAGGACAAGACGAAGTATCTCCTGTCATCAAACAAACAGTCAGCACATTCGCGCCTTGGCACCCACGTCTCTGTTGACAGTTACAATTTCGAGAAAGTAGAGTATTTCGTTTACTTGGGAACTAGCATTAACACCGATAATAATGTCAGCATGGAAATCCAACGCAGAATCACTCTTGCAAACAAGTGCTACTTTGGACTGAGTAGGCAATTCAGGAGTAAAGTCCACTCTCGACATACGAAAACCACGCTCTAAAGGGTGAACACACCAAAAGTGCGACACTTAGAAATTACTACCAGAAACAAACTAGCAGGCTTTGAAATTATTTTTTTTTGTATTATATAACTTGGAAGTTTTGATGTTATTAAAATGTTAAAATATTAGTTATTAATAGCTCCATATGAAAGTGATCGGTATTTTCATCGCACACGCGCCATCATGTTCGGCACGACTGCATCATCGACTTTACGCGATGCGCACAACTACTTTGTTTTGCACTCTTCAATATTTTTCACTGTTTCACCTGTTTTCTGCAAGATTTCTTTGGCAATTGACCAATATTCCCCAATAGGACGTGGCTCTGGGCTATTGGGTGGATTGCAGTCGTGAGGTATAAAATTGATGTTATTTGCATTATACCACGGCAATGTGTCCTTGGCATAGTGGCAGGTTCCCACGTCCGCCTAGAACAGTGGCCTACTCCTTATCTGTTGATAAATGACAGAAGTCGCCTTTTGAGGCACTCATCCCGATAAACTTGATCATTCATTGTCCCGGATGGGAAAAAGGGCTGCTCTTACGGCCGCAGGAACAAATATCTTGCCAAACCATGTGGTTTTTGGAAATTTGGACTTCATTTTCAGCTTACAACTTTCAGGGGCATCTTGACGACTTGCAGCAGTATAAAAATCTTGACCTGCAATATATTTTGAATTTTTATAGCAGTAGGTTTCGCAGTCCATAACAATGCAGTTGTACTTTTTAATTTAGAATTCAGACAACTTCCGAATGCGGGATTTCGCTGTAACATTCTACTTTGCGCCTCGGCCTGCCGCTGTTTGAGCTGTAGAACAACTCAATGAAGCTTTCCGCTTTACCTTTTGTACGAAAAACTGTGATCTTGATACAGATTTTGCAACATAACGCGACAAAATCTTCGGATTTCGCGAAAACGCACTGAGGACCTTCCGAGCACTGTTTTTATCACTTTGACCATGCTAACCCCCACTCCCTGGTTTTCTCGTAACTGCCTGGCCTTATTTGTACCGATTAAAACCCTGCAAACTGTCGAATAGTGCAATCTTTAATTTTTTAGCAATTTTACGTGTACTTAAGGCCGGATCATTTATAAACTCGTGCAAAATGGTTTGTCTCATTTCTAGCTCGGTTGCAATTTTTAACTCAACTAGGAATCAAATTCAAATGAAATTTCTTCTACGTTCAACTAAGGTGATGGTCAACTTATGGTATTTGAATTTCAAAATATTGAATTCATTTTGGGTAAGTTATAAGCTTCCCAAAGTGTCGCAGTTTTGGTGTGTTCACCCTTTAAAAGTCACTCATCATGCCCGTGCTGGTATATGGCACAGAAGCATGGACAATGACAACATCCGATGAGGCGGCTATTGGAGTATTCGAGAGAAAGATGTTGCGGAAGATTTACGGGCCTTACGTGTTGGCGACGGCGAGTACCGCAGACGATGGAACGATGAGCTGTGTGAGCTTTACAACGACATGTACATAATGCAGCGAATTAAAATACAGTGGCTTGGCCATGTCGTTCGAATGGACCCCGACGCTCCAGCTCTGAAAGTATTCAACTCGGAACCCGCTGGTGGTAGCAGAGGAAGAGGGGGGCCCCCACTGCGATGGAAAGATCAGGTAGAGAAGGACTTAGCTTCACAAGGCGTTTCCAATTGGCGTCAGTTGGCACAGAAGAGAAACGACTGGCGTGCTTTGCTGAACTCGGCCAAAATCGCTTAGGCGGTTACGACGCCAAATAAGAAGAAGAAGAAGAAGACAAACTAACATTTAGTAAAACTAAAACACAGCTAGTAGAATAAAACAAATAAACTACGTATAACAATTAATTTTACTGTACAAACTTTCACAAATGTTTAACTCTTTACAGATACATATTATTATTATTATTATTATTACGTCGGGGATACTCGCGCTGCGACCTAAGAAGATCTATTGTGCTTAAACCTAATTGTAATGACTCCTACCCTTGACTATTTAAGAAGTTAAGCGCTTTGGAGTACGCCTTGTTTCAAATTTTGAGTGAAGAAGACAATCGTTCCCCAGTCTGATATTTATAATACGTGGACAGTCACATAGAATATGCTCTGGCATTTCCTCCACCAGCTCACAAAAGGCTAGGAACCATGCAAGCGCATTTGGGCTCCACACTTTGCGAGACACTCAGCCCTTTCGTTGCCTTCAAACCGTTCATGTTGCGGAACCAACACAGCCTTACACTATTGTGGGTTTCCAAGTGGCTCAAAAGAGCTTCACAGCTGTCCATAAGCCTGGTGCCGTTTTAAAATAGTCAAAGGCCTTTAACCTGCCAGACTATCCGACATAATATTTATTTTGGACAAATTGGGTTCTTTACATAGACTGCGATTGCAAAGACTTCCGCCTGGAATATAGTTCTGTATGAGCAAATTGGCAGAAATTTCTGGAATCTTGGTCCAAATACGCCCGCCGCAGTGCTCTCGTCGCCCATCTTTGATCCGTCGGTATACAATACTTGGGACCCTTCGTCAGTCATAGTTATTATCACTTCATAGCAGTCCTTTTTAGGAATTCTGACCTTGTATGGTTTGTAGAAGGATAACTCGGGATTATTCAGGAACGGCTTTAGAACCTCTAAATGACCCCGAAGATATCCAATTTTCTTTCTGGTCATATTGGGCAGTCGTTAGTAGAGCGCTTCAGCAGGCCTCTTTTTCTCTCTCACAACTCTCTTCGTATGTGAAACAGTGATGCAATTTATGGTACAATTGTACTTTTTTGGTACATTTTGGAAGCCAAAAGTACATTGGTACTACATTGACATTTTTGATAAAATTTTCTCAAAATACGGCACTGCACCACACTGTGTATACTTGGATTTAGCATTTTTGTGGACAAAAATATAGTCATCTTTTTCTACCTGAAAATGAAAATTTTGCTAAAATCAACGAAAAGTTGGTGCGATAATAGCCCTATTCATAAACATTCATGACAGTAAGTACTTACAGAAACATAGAGAGTGAAATTGAGATGTAGAGAAAATTATCATAAAAAGTTATTGAACGCAAAACTAGCAAAACCGTGCATCTTACGCCATTTTGACTTTCTGATGTTTAAGGTTTGCCGCGTAATTTTCCTTTTGGTTGGGAACATTTACCAAAAATAAAATAAT